ATTGTTAGATCGATTCATGGCAAAGTTTAAATATGCCTTTTTTTCTCGTCGAATGGCACTCAATGTGAGATTGCGTAACATCTTGTGATTTGTTAAATCTGTACCTAATTCAGAATGTTTGTATTTTCTAAGAGCTTCGTCTCTATCTGCCATCATCAATTCAATTACATCAGTCAGCCAGGGAGCTTTAGGTTAAGTAACTCTTACAGTTCTCACTGGAGCATGCTTGTCAAATAGTTTTGTTATGTTTTGTTTGATAAAGTTTATTTTGTCATCAATAGAATTGATTTGGTATACTACATTCCAATCAATTGAAAATAAATCAGTTGTGAAATTTTCATCCGAAAAATATTTGAATTCTCTGAACGTAACCAATTTGAGAACTTTTATTGTTGATTCGAAGTTGAACACACCATGAGTCAACCTGTGGTCAGAAATTGTCTCAGCACTCATTGTTCCGGGAGAGATAACAGAGTCATCACAGGTCACAAATATTTGATCAATTAAAGATGATCCAATATTGGTTATCCTAGTAGGTTCATTCATTATTCGTGATAGTCCAAGTGAGTCCATCATTCTACATGATTTATTTACATTAGTATCATCTCCATTCAAAAAATTTAAGTTGAAATCACCCATGCAAATTATTTCATCAACAGTTGGTAAAATTGTAGAGATGCTATTTTCGAGGCAATTGAGAGACTCCGATATATTTGATCTAGGCTGTCTGTAGATTATACCTGCTGCAAATGTTTTTTTGTTGATTTTCACTTTAATCCAAAGCTGTTCGAGATTGATATCATAACTTGAGTGTATGAAAGATGGATGAAGGGAGTTGTGAATATACATCGCCACACCACCTCCTCTTGTAGGTCTATCGCATCTAAACAGTCTGTAATTAGGAATCCTGACTGTGTCTGAGGATATATTACTATTCAACCACGTTTCAGTCAATTCAATGATAGAAACATTTTTCTGCAAGACAATATTACAAAATTCCTGAAATCCTGTGAACAAAGAACGTACATTGAGATTACATAATTTAAAGTAGGTCATTTTGAGTAACAATGGAAGTTAGAAGATTTGATAAACAAATAAATATAACAGTAGGTCAATGAAATTTCCACGATGAGCAAGTAAAATAAGAAACAAAAAATAAAAGCAGAAAAAAGCGAGGAATTGTAAGACAGAAGTGATAATTCGGTAGTTGGTCGAGAAACGGCAAAAAAAAAATTCGAAGTAGACGAGGTCGCGATATAAATGTATATATGTGAACAATTGAATGAGAATGAGAAAAAAGATCATTTCTTTGGTGATAAAACATTGTAGGTTTCGATGTAGCACAGAGGCGTATTTAAATAAATCAGCCATTATGTTCATATAAGAAATACTGTTACTGAATGTTGAGGAAACAAAAAAAAAGAACAAAATGAGAGAGAATAAACATTTTGAGATTACAGTTGACAGTACTAAACCCTGAGTTGAATGAAAAAAGTAACAGAGAAAAAAACACATTTCAAAAACTCTTCTTCGATAACCAAGTTCTGAACTTCACCATTATGGCTCTGAGTTTTGCAGAATCTTTTTGGGTTCCTACTCTGAAGCAACGATCTATTTCATCGATTGGGATATTAAGGGCCATTTCAGTAGAGAAGGTATTGAGGACGACTTTTTCTATATCTTCTTCAATAGTTTCCTTCAGTCCAAATATTCGTAGGTTTTGAATTCATGAGTACTGCTCTGTTCTATCGATATGCTTTGTTGAAGATTTGTTTTTTTGTAACCTCAATGATTTATTTTCGCTTATTAAATTCTCTATAACTTTCTCCTGATTTTCCATATTTTTCTCAAACTTGATACTCACTGCATCTTTGACAATAGCTGATAGAATTTGGGAAAACTCGACAGAGCGCAGAACTTCCTTTACAGAGGCAACTATTGCAGGGTCAGATGTTGCTTGTGATTGTCCACACTGGCTTCTTGCTGTCATTATGTAGATTCAAGACTTGAAATTCACTCGTTATCAAGTCGAACACATATACCACAGGATCAATGAGGTTAAAATGATTTTTTGATCAAATTATTGTACAAATGGTAAAGATACTTCGCGAGCTCGTTTACTGTGTTATTCAGTATGCGCCATCTTGAAATGAACCTAACAATCTATTGACATTGATAGTGAATTGAATTGAAATCCTAAAAATCTGCAGGATCTATCCGGGATGAATCTACTGTTTTCCTCGTTCATCAAGAATCCTAAGCCAGTTAGCAGATCAACAGTTACCTCAACATTTTCTAAGCATTCCTCATAGGTATCACCAAATAACAAAAAATCATCCAGATAAATTAGCTACCGGGCAACCAATGGTTTCATTATTTTTGTAAAAACCAATGGCACTACACAAAGACCAAATGGTATACATGTGAACTCATGAAGGTTGTTCAAAAATTGGGAACGAAGAAATTTTGTTGACTTCTCGTCTACCTTTTGATATCGATTTAACTCCTGTATTTCTGTTTTCCATTTTGAAATGTTCAGTTTTCATGAATGAGTTCAACTTCTTCGAATTGAAAACTAGTCGATATTTTCCATAAGTCTTTGGAACTAAGAAATTGTTTGATATAAACTCCCCTTTGGAGGATACATTCTTCGATTCCCTTGATTTTTGAAAGGCGATGAATTTCTTTGTTGATATTATATACTTCTTCATGAGATCGTAGGGGTTCTGATGGAACAACACTTTGGTATACCTGTTTACAAAATTTCAACCTGTAACCTCTCATCCATGATCTAATAAGAAACACAAATTCCCAACCTTGAAACCCACCCCGGTTATTTCTGGTATATGTGTTTGTTTCGATGCACATTGACAGTTCCTGCTCGTTGATCTTGGTATTTGTATGAGGTTGATGGTCGATGAGGATCCTGATAGTAATGTTGGGAAGGTTTCCGAGGTTTGCTGCATTTTTGTTCACCCACCCGACTTGTTGCTCGTCGTTTGGGCAGAACTCTGGAGTTTAAATGCCTGGCCTTCTGTTGTTTTTGGAAAAAGATGGTTTCTCCAGCATTATGTCTTGTGCTGACCTCTCAATTGCTCTGGCTGCTTTCATTCTCTCCCCTTAAATTTTCTCCATATAACCATCCATCTAGCTTTGGACAGGCTACTACATCTTGCAAATCCTTATCAAAGTTGAAGTTGAGTAAGTTTCGCCGTGATTCCGACTCCTGATTATAAATGTCGGCCGAAAGCCTTCCGGCATCACTCACTAGCTCAATGATGATTCGTCTGCTCCCCCCTTCTACTCCCGCTTCCTCTCGGCCCAGAAGTAGAGTGAGTACCTTTCCTAGGGCTGCTGAAGCAGCTCCCCCTTGGCTTTGTTATCCTGAAGCCTATCGTCTCTTTTTAAAGCTGTCTCCCCTGCTACTATCTTAACTTCACGGTTGACCAATGAAGCCATCATTCTTAGACAATTTTCAAAACGGGCAAGTTTTTTCATCATCTTCGAACGGATGTCTGCCTTCAAGCCACTAACTAGAATTTATTCCCATAACATTGCCACATATTTCTGAATTATGTCACCCTCTTCATTCACCTTGGAATTAGGCTTTCCTAGTAAATTCGATAACTCTGGACTGAGATTTGGTACCTAAACTTCCTGCATAGCAAGAGGGTCATTCTCTGTGTTTCCTGCCAAGAGAGAAACAACCTTATTGACATTCATTCAAAGATGTACACAATGTGGAAATTGGCATCCCAATTCACAAAAACAGCAAGAAATAATGAAATCCATCCTTATAATTTTGTTGATCCAAATTCTGTACCATTGAATTTCTATGGAATCTTTTTCCTAGCTCACCACCAAGCTTATTATTTTGCTAAGCCCACCACTGAGCTCATTATTTTGCTTAGCCCACCACCGAGCTTCTTATTTTGCTTAGCCCAACACCGAGCCAGATTGGAATAGCCTACCACCAAGCTTGAATTAATTTCTAAATCAAATTTTCATGTCCTCGACCACCACCAAACCGGACATATAGACATAAAACCAACCACCAAGTCAGTCTTTTACCGGCTGTTGTAGCCGTAGCCACTGCCGAATCGTTTTTCTTGCCGGTTCTGTCAATCTGTATTCGACAAAATGCAAATGCCCTGAGAGAAAAACCAATAACCTACCTTCAATATTATTTCCGACATGCTGATTCATGTCCACTTCTTCTGGTTTTGGTGAATTTCCTAAATCGGAGGATCCAATTCAACTTGGACTTGTTGAATATGAAGAACTTCTTCGCGATTTTTCTTGCCTTCCTCCACCGCCGATATCATCAACAGACGGGGAGCGTGACCTCCTTCTACGCTTCCTTTTCAGGTTTTTCAATTTCCTGAGTAATTCTATATCGCTATCGCTGTTTTCTGAGGTTTCGGAATGACTTCTGTTCCGCTTACTCTTACCCATTTTAGTTTAAAACAACATCAACATAATGAAATACTTGTTATAATCTCCACCTGATAAGATGACCGTGTTGTTCATCTGACACACAAAAGAGAAGTGACATCACGGAATAGCTGCGCGGATATCGAGGAAATAAAAGGCATGGAACGAGAAATTTCAGCGACTTATGACTGTTTGTGGAATTCGTGACAATGGAGATACTACGTTGTCTTCTGATCATCTGAAGAAGAAAACGCAAGTATCATTATTACTAGTACTCTATTTATCTTCTCATCACATTATCATTATTTTTTCCATTTCCGTTTTGTTACTGGAGGTTGAGTGGAAGAGCGCCGCTTCTCAACGTCACAGTTGTAGAAGTATGCGAACTCAGCCTTTTGCATATATAGTTTTACACATACACTTACATATATCATGAATGAAGTGGTTATAATCATGTTCTTATATTCTTATTACGGTTATTGAGGTACAAGTCAACTCATTATATATTAGCTTGTTGCGTTTTTTTTAATCCGAGTAGAATGAATCGAAATGAATGGTTGCCTTACCTATCAGCTGAACATTTCCAGGCGGTACCCCTGAAGACACCAAAAACTGAGCTATGAACCTTCCCACCGGTTTGATGTTGGCGCTGGACACCCTGTAAGACTTATTTCCAGCTTTGGACCAGTTGACGTAGACGACGTTATGCGGCCCCAGGGCGAAAAGTCCGTCCTTCAAGGGCTTGTACCAGGGCGAAGTGTCGTCAGTGGTCCATCCGTGTATGAGCAGCACGGTCGGTAAGGATTTGTTCAATGTTTTGCCTTCTCCATCTGATGTATTTGCAAAATCAGAAAAGCGCCGTCAAGAAGGAAAATCAGAACAAAGGAAGCGTGATCAAGAAAATAAATAAGATAGAGTAAAGCGTCGTCAAGCAAAAAAAAAAAGGAGAAAAAAGGGCAGGAGAGGAGCATCGGAGAATGGTATGAGATTATTAGGAAAGCATCTGGATAACTCATCACAAAATTAATATGACGCTGCTAAGGGATAAATCATTGCTGAAAGTGACATCTACGGGTCGGCAGGTACAGGTCGGACCAACTTGGTGAAGTATAGCATAAAGACACTGACCTATCTCATCAAATCCGGCACTGAATGGCAGCTGTCCTTTACCCAGAACTGACGGAATCCTAACAACATTGGAAGAGTCTGCATGATGGTTGTCAACACTAAATTAATAAAGAGGACATGGAATAAATAGCCTTCACAGTGGATTCTAGCTAGCAGTTCACTGTAATGCCTTTTGGACTGTGTAATGCTCCAGCGCTAGTTGAAAGGCACATGGAATTAGTACTGCGTGGGCTCGCTCAGAAATCTTAGCGGGTTTATCTCGAAGATGTGTTAGTGATGATAAGGAACTTCGAGGAACATCTTCATCATATGCGAGAAGTTTCCCAATGTTTCAGAGATGCCAACCTCAAACTGAAGCTTAAAGAGTACTCGTTGTTCCAGAAAGAAGTGAATTTCTTGAGTCGCAATGGTTCAGAAATGTCAATCTGGAACTAACCTCATAGAAGTGAAGTTCTTGAGTCACAAAGTATCAAGCATTAAAATAAACGAGACGAAAATACAGGCAATCGGACACTGAGCTATGAACTTTCCCACCGGTTTGATGTTCGCGCTGAACACCCTGTATGATTCGTTTCTTGCCTTCGACCAGTTGACGTAGACGACGTTATGCGGTCCCAGGGCGAAGAGGCCATCCTATAAGTGTCATCGGTGGCCCTTCCGTGTATGAGCATCACGGTTGGTAGGGATTTTTTCAGTGTTTTGCTGTCTGCATGGACAAATTCGAAGAACCAATCAAACGAACTAGACAAGCCCAGTCAGCACATCCTTTCGTTGTCAACCTCGAAAGATGTCGAACAGCACTTTATCAAGACTCCTCCATCCATAGAACGGCTAGGCTCTGGAATTCATTGCCTGTGGAAGTATTCCCAACAACATAATTATAATCTCCAAAAGTTCAAAAAAAATTCCACTAGAAACGCGCGATGTTCTTTGAACATTATAGGGATTCCCTTTCGTGCGCTCCAAGCGATAAAAAAAAAAAAACAAACTTCACAAACGTTGAGATTTTCACAAAATTCTTAGCCACACGGCAAGTTCCGCTAACGCAGTTAGTTTCTTCAGGTGAAATGCTCATATAATGATAAACTGAACCCTTATCGACTTGTCTAACTCTCAAATCCTACTTTCCGAACCTGAAAGATTGAAATTACCTGTGAAAAGGTTGGCTAAGTCTTCATTTTCGAAGGATAGGCACGATAATCCACATCAAAATTTTGTGTACTCATTTATAAAGTGCTCGAAGAATCAAGTGGACCACTGACATTTCTGCCTATTTTGAATATGCCACAATTTTTCGGAAAATGGAATGATTCTCAATCGGAAAGAACTGCTTGAAAGATGCGTTCTTTCCCTTCAAGATTCAGTGCTCAAAACACATCGAAATTTCTCATTCATGACACATCAAATATTTGACGATAGTGTTACAGGAAAAAGAAGTTTGAACCCGGTATTCCACAAGATTTTCCTCATTTTCCCACGTATCCTGTTTCCTAAACGCGTGAGACGATTTCTTGAAATTGTTTCGGAATTGTTGGTATTCTTCATACAGAATGATGAAAATCGCTTCTGTTCATTCTCTGGATTTCATCGCATCACTGTGGGCTCAAAAATTCCATGGGCAATATCCGAACCTAGTAAATGAATTCACCTGCCCTGGTCAATATCTTGAGACAATTTCTTGAGGGGGCACTTCTGAATTATTCTGATCTATACAAACAATAACAAAGTTACAATGATTTTCAGAGATCCATGAGCTAGGATATCGATGAACCTCTCATTCATGAAGTCGATGATCACATGCCCAAATCATTTCGTTTCTGTGTAATGAACACCTATTTGTGCGAATGAAACCATTGCAGCACCCAATTCACCATCCCCTTTGAAAACAGTCATTATTCTTCCATGATATTATTGTTATCATGACTGTCTTCATTTTACTCAGCAATTATGCCGCGATTATCTCAGAATGAGCTCGAAAAAGCTCTCAGACTCATTGGGAGAAGTTTATTACTAGAAAACAATCTAAACATTTAGACAGCAGCTCCTTTCGGTGAATAGTGAAAAGCTCATAGAATTGTTTTATAGTTTGATTTGCCAGAAGCGTGGTAGTCATTGGAGTAGTGTTTCTTCCTCCTAGAGGTGCTGGTTAGTGATGGCAATCAAGTAATTATTGGAGGGGACTTCAACATAAGACATGTGGACTGGGGTAACCATGGCAACAACCAAAACGGGGGCACGATGCAGACGTACTTACAGGCCACCAATGTCAACCTGAACTACCCAAATACTTCCACGTACCACCCCGTCAAGGGAATGACACCGACAGTCGAGGACATAGTGCTGTCCAAGAACGTGGTAGACATCTCGAACCTACAGGCAATAGATGAACCAAGCTCTGACCATCTGCCAGTTCTGTTTGAATACGAAACTATACCTCCTGAAATCATCGAGAAAATAAATGATTATCAAAACACGAACTGGCGGATGTTCAGAGCCTATTTGGATCAAAACGCTACAATGAAGAATAACATCACAATGAAAGAAATATATCAAGAAATGAAACATGAGTGTTAAAAAATATTGCCGGGGCAAATAATGCCACCATGAGACGTGTCGGCATTAATTCCAATGAGAACGAAATTTCTTGAGCTCATCGCCAGAAAGAAAACACTGAGGCGTTGCTGGCAACGGCTCGGAACACCGAAAGCCTTTGAAAGAGTATGCAATGAAATTGAATACGAAATACGGGAGCTCAGGAACATCTATTAGAGAACAAAATTGGAGAATCTGGACCAACGTGACAATACTCTATGGAAGATGTCAAACCGATTCAAGAAACAATAAACACCTATTCCTACCATATAGTATGGTCACGAGAAAGCGGTGTCAGATCCAGAGGAGGCGTTAGTGCTTGGGAAACACTTTCAAAATATCAGCAAGATTCATGAAAACCCAACTAATGCGGTCCAGGAAGACATTGTGGCAACGACGGCACGCATGAGATCGCTGCCTATAGCTCAAATATTCATAAATCACCAGGGCTTGACGGACTGGACATGCCCAAGTAACATTTTAGATGCCTAATAGCTTTCATGAGACTTTAAAGAGGTTATGTGAGCGCAAATGATAGGTCTTATTTGTTCTACCGTTCTATGAATGCCCTGGAAAAAGCATATTGGCCCTCATGTCCATATAATCTTATTGAAAGGCTTTGAGATACTATGATAGAACTATCGCATAAAACAATTTGGCATTCAGCTCACTTCGGTTTTAAGAGAGCTCTGTGAGAGTCATTGAAATTCTTTATCAAAACTATCTACTCTTAACAACCCTCTTGAAACACTTAATTTTATCAGTACCTCGAATTTGACCAAGAGGTTTTGAACTAGTTCTATGAAAATACGTCATAAAGCAATCATGAAACCAAATTTGACTGAGACAATGATGCAACCTTATGGCATTATTCTAGCTATGTGAAAGTTATTAAAACCTATGAGCCACAATGAATCGATCGAAGTCAATCATAAAATCTATAGGATTTATGAAGTTTTATTAAGAACCGTGTTAAACCCACATCCCATAATATAAATGTTCGTATTTTTTTTGCCTACAAACGACTCACGTTGAAATGAACTCACAAGAAAATAAATAGTGTGAAATTAGGAGAAATGCCAATTTCAAGCGAAAAAATAAAGAAAATTGAGAATTCAACACAATATCAGGCAAACTGCACTGAGTGTAGTTTGTCTATGTTTATGTTTCCTAGTCGGTTTCCTACTTCAAACCAATCACAAAATTCACAGAGTGAACACTGTGAATAACAAAAGTAGGGTTATGTTAATCATGTTGATGACTTTTTTGCAACACTGCCAATGAGCACTAGCCAGGATATTCTTAATGCTTTATAGTTTTATGGAGGCGTCTTATGACTTTCTCAAATCAATCTTATCATTCTCCAAGCTTTGTTGTCATACCCAGGAGCAAATATTCATAGAAATGGATTGGAATATGCATTAAGTACTTCAACAGGAGGAAATCGTCTCATGAAATGCATGATCATGACCTGACGGTTTTGATCAAGCATTAGAGAAAGAAAAATGGTTTTAAATATATTGTGCGCCATATTCACTACAAACAGATGTCGGCCATTGATGGAAATGAAAATTTCAAGCAGAAAATGAAGAAGATGCATTGATACTACCGTCGAAAATGTTGTTTTTCCACATTTTTCAAACGACTCACCTATGATCAGCAAACATTCATACAGTTTTGTCAACTTTTTTGAAAAGTTATTTAAATTCACATCCAATTCAAACTGGTGAAAACACATTATTTCCAGGGCGCTGCTGTTTTCGAAGCATATCTGGTATGTTTCCGTCAGGAAAGTCGTCATCGTTTTCATTTTACAGCCTCAATCTTCACAAAAAGGACTATTTGATACAGTAGGGAATTATCATATCATACCGTCATGTCTGATCTCTCTTATAACTATCTATTGTTTCCAGTCCATTTTGACATGTTTGTATTTCAATTAGTTCTGTAGAAAGACTACCATATAACACGTTACGGACTATATTATCTCAACAAATGCTTACTACAACTGATAATGCTTTAATTCTTGCCAATAAGTTTTAATGTTGGCATAAGAACTGTCGTTTTCAAGCATATGGGTTTGAAGACGTGCTGAAAGGCTTCGAAGGGA